CCGTATCTTTCGGCAATCGCATAGAAGAAACGTAATTCCATACAACACTGATAAACCCAGTTAAAATCAAACTCAATCTCCCAACTGCATGTTGCACTCAAACATTCCTAAATCACCTATAAATATAGCGCAAAACTCAACACTCCATCACCAAGACTGAAACAGAAAATTGAGAAAGATCAATTTGGAGCTTGGCTTTTCAATTTGGAGCATTCCATTCTATTAACTTTAGTTTCTATAGGTGAAGTAAGGATTACAAGTTCCTTTTTGGTGATTATGCAGTTTATCTTTTTTTAATTTTGCAATATAAAATGCTATATTCATGTTTTAGTTTCCTTTTATATTTATTTATTAACTATTTTCTATTATAGTTGTTTTTCTTGAATTTCCACATATTGCAGAAAGTATTCCAGTCAGACGTTGGTGATCATCATTCTCAATTTTGTTGGGTAATAACATATTAACAGTTTCAATCGTTTTTTAAAAATCTTATTTCAATCTGTAACTAATTTCTTTTATTATTGGGTTGATGTTGAGGCATAGTGCTGGATTGAAGAATAAAGTGATGACTCAGAAGGGTTCAAGTATTCTGTAGATTATTTTTTCTTTTTTATATGTATCACATTTTACAAAAGTATTCTGTAATATACAAATATGTTTTTTTCAAGTGTATTAAGAATGATTCTATTATTTAACAATAATATTTAGGGAATTGTGTTCTTCGATCTTTAGTACATTGAAAAATTTATTCTATTGTATTGAGAATATGTACTCTAAACTTTAAAAAGTATATTACTAATTATTTCTTATATGATTTGTATACATCATTTACTTAATCCTAATGTTAATAATCTATACTTTTACATAAAATCAGAACAACAAGGTATAATTAGTTATACTCAAAACAGTACACCATATTTGCACCATATTGTTGATTTGCAGCCTATAGTAAGTTTAAATATCTGCAAGTAGGTTTTCAAAAAAAAAATATTTGCAAGCAACAAGCTCAAATTTTATTAAACTTTTAATTTCATGTAATTTATCAAAAAGTCTTTTAATATTTTTTTTCAATTTCATATAATTTGTATTGAAATTCATATATATGAATATAAAAAAGATAGGAAAAAATGCAGGGTTTTCATTACTTATAGACAAACACTTATAATGTCTTCTGACAATACTTCCAGAATTACACATAACACAAATATACTACATACTAAATTAGTGTTTATGCTAAATAAAAAACAATTTGTAGTTAATAAGACTGTATTAAACAAAGTGAACTTAAAGAATAAAATTTCCACTTCTTCTTAGGTTAACTAATTAACAGAAATTGATTAGTGATACCCAAAAAAATATATATGACTTTAAACTATAAGATAAGATTCCAGGTTTCAAAAAATTGATACAAAATGACGGAAACATAAAGTCATAATGTTCTATATTAATTTTTTGAGAAATAACACTGCAAAATATGAATATGCAACACAATTAATAAGAGAAATATATATTATGGGTACAAGGTGCACAGTGGATTGCTGAAATCTACCACATGTGATGCTATTGAGAAATATAGATCACTCATTAGGATTGTGTAATGGTTACAAGGAAGGCTGATCATGTTTTGGAAGCTCATATTATGTGTGGAACGAATGCAGGAATATTATGTGTGGAACACATGCAGGAACAAAGATTTTTAATTCCTCGAATGTCGGTAACACCTTCTGACTCAAGATTGTCTTTCAAGTTCCAAAAAAAAGCATTTTTCTTTGATGCTATCATATGTCATGATAATAAATAAAAGTCTATGACAAACACTATCACACGTGGGATTATTTTTGAGAACGCAGGACTTTAATCATGGTCAAATGTACATAGCAGTCTCAAGAGTAAGTAAATCAATGAGATTAAAAATTTTGATATGTGGAGATATTGTACCATCTGTAAGTACGACTAAAAATGTCGTATACAAAGAATTTTTCATTAATGGGTAATACAATTGCAATGTTAATCATTTTTAAATAATTATTTCGTATATATATATATATATATATATATATATATATATATATATATATATATATATATATATATATATATATATATATATATATATTTTTAGAATATTGTTAATCTTTTGTCTATATCATATGTCCGTGCATCGCATATATTTGCCCCGTACGATGAATTAAACACGAGTCGTTGAATTTTTTTATAATTATAATTAATTTTTTTATTATATATATATATATATATATATATATATATATATATATATATATATATATATATATATATATATATTTATTTATTTATTTATTTATTTATTTATTTATTTATTTATTTATTTATTTATTTATTTATATTTAGGTATAATAATATGAGAACAAAATAAATTATCATTCTCATTATTCCATGTAATTTATATGGTAAGTTTATGCTAATCTCTCTACATATTTTTTATTCATAAGGTGTAATAGTATAATTGTACAATATTAGTATATTTACCTAATAATTATTATGGTAATTAAGGAATTAATTGCACAGATATTAGTACAATTGACTAATAATTATTATGGTAATTAAGTTAATAATTACCTTAATAATAGTATAATTGCAATTAAACATGGATCGTTGGATTTTTTTATAATTATTACAATTAATTTTATGATAATCTAATTTTTTTGTTATGCTTAAGGTATAATACAATGAGAAGTAAATAAATTATCATATCTATTTTTTCGTGTAATTACTATGGTAATTTTATGGTTATATATATATATATATATATATATATATATATATATATATATATATATATATATATATATATATATATATATATATATATATATATATATATATATATATATATATATATATATATATATATATATATATATAAGGAGCCGCGGTGATATTGTTCTGAATGTTGCTTCCAGTGGAATATCATCTTTTCTTTTATCGAGAGGCAGGACATCACATTCCAGATTTGCTATACCACTCTCTTTGAACGATGATTCCACGTGCAATATACCGCAACGCATTGACCTTGCTGATCTTATAATAATGAGCAAATTGATAATATGGGATGAAGCATTGATGGCGCACAAACACTGCTTTGAGGCTTTGGACAAAACCATGATGAATCTATTGAGGTTCGCCATACCGGGTAGTGCTGAAAAGACTTTTGAGGGAAAGACAATATAGTTTTCGGCGGCAATTTTAGACATATCCTACCTGTTATTTCGAAAGCACCAGTAGTTATCGGAGCAACTATTAATTCTTCATACCTGTGGACAAATTGCAAGGTATTAAGGCTCACAAAAAATTTGAGATTACGGACCTTAGCTTCAGAGGAAGATAGACAGACGGTTGATTGATTTTCAAAATGGATTGCAGACATCGGAGATGTGAATACAGGGGTTGTAAACGGTGATTCATTTGAGATCTATATTCCGGCACGGTTTATGTTAAAGTGTGGACACGATCCCATAGCAACTATAGTGGAAAGCACCTTCCCAAGCTCGAGATATCATATGCTCGATGTGTCACAGCTAGAAGGCCGAGCGATCCTCTCGCCGACTTTATATGTCGTTGATCAAATTAATCAGTACATGTGCAACATGAATACTGCAGAAGGACAAACATATTTACGTTGTGACTCTTTGTGTAAGGCAGAATCAGACAATAAAAATCTATCAAAAGTAAACACTCCTAGATTCTTAAATAGTTTGAGATTGTCAGGTCTTCCTAATCATTCATTTACATTAAAGGTCGGTGCACCTGTTATGTTATTGCGGAACATAGTCCCTGTTATGTTATTGCGGAACATGGTCCACTCTCTTGGTATTTGTAACAGGACGCGGCTCATCATCACAAGATTGGCATATCACATTGTCGAAGCAAGAATAGTTAATGGGACACATGAAGGAACCAAAGTTCTTATACCCCGATTGTCTCTCACTTCTTCTGATACGAGATTGCTCTTCAAGTTCCAACATAAACAATTCCCGTTGATGCTTGCATATATATGCCATGACTATCAACAAAAGCCAAGGCCAAACACTAACTCACGTTGGGTTATTGCTTAAAAAAACGGTCTTTAATCACAGACAATTGTACGTGACTTTCTCCCGAGTCACCCATCCTGATAGCCTGAAGATGTTAGCTCTAGACGAGGATAGACAAGATTGTGTTGCGACTACCAATTTTGTCTACAAAGAGGTTTTCAATAATGTGTAAATACAATCGTTGATATTATGTTTTTTTCCAAAATGACAAAATTGATATATATCTAGACAAAAATATATCCTCTATACAAATGAACTAGGATAACAATTGATTACCATAGCTAAGTTACTAGAGAACGATCACATTTGCCTAATTTATAAATATCTTAAACAATGATATATAAAATCTATAAAGTTACAGCACCGCATGTGTACATTTACACATTAGCTATTAATTTGAGCAATTATTTGCTCGAATTCAAGCAATGATAGCATCAACAAACATAAACGATCAGAACCAATCTTCAATTGCACTATATAATATTTGATGTTATAATTTAAATAATTGTATAACAACCAAATATTCTTAATATATTATAACAAATCCATTCCGTGCATCGCACGGGTGAAAATAGTAGTTAAGTACAATATTAAGTGGAATATAAGGAGAATTTATTTTTAATTTAGTCCTTAAATTATACACCTATAGTCATTTTAGTCGTTATCTTTTAATCACTGTACTATATACACACTTATAAGTTTTCATCTCCTCAGGTAACGAAATCATGAATCTCCATCAGCAAGAAATATTTAATGTATGACTTTTACCAAAACACTTGCTAATCAGATGTTGAATATAAATCAAATCGTAATATGTCTTATGGAGATATACCTATGAACAAGTTTAGGAAGACGTTCAGAAACAAATTCACAAACACAACATCCAAAAGATAATCAATCTAAACACACAAGGATGCACAAAATTTGGTAACCCAGTTCAGAATAACCATATCTACATCTGAGGGCACCACAAAAATAGTAGCCCAATTCTTCATTCATAATCAATCTCAACGTTTTACCAAAACACAATGATATGAGTGAAGAACTCCAATCTCCATGGGTCATGGCTACGTCATAGCCTTCAAATGATATGAAGTTGCTTCTTGAAGAATTGGAGAAGGATCTCCTAATCGTTCAAGTTGAGGTTCCCCCTCAACTGCAGCTCTCTCAAGTTGTCTTCGTGTAGTCACATGCAACTCGAATGTATCAAATTAAAGTTGAAATTCAACCTGACAAGAATGTTAATTCTAATTCGTCAAGTTGCTCAGTTTAGCTCAATGAATCTGTCCTTTTTTTGTAGAATTTTCTCAGTGTAAATCTTCAAATCGTCAATCAAAGCTTGAAGAGAGTCAAGGCTTTTATATTCTTCTTCCATAATGATCTGTAACAAACTAATTGTCTTGAACTATCTTCTGAACAGTCTTCATTTTTTGTTCAGGCCTTGGTCATCAATCTTCAATGTTTGTCAGTAGCTTGTCTTCGAACTAAGTGTAAACACTAGTACATACTCGATCTAACTTAGTACAAATACAGAGTTGAATGTTGAACTAAATTTTAACAACTGTATTGTTCCATAAACAATAACACAGAGGACGAAAAAGATATTTTCTTTTGTATAGGAGAAGAAGATATTTGTTGGTCCCAGTAGGGTCGAAAGAGAGTCTAGAGAAGGGGGGGGGGGGGGTGAATAGACTCTAATCGATTTTTCAAAGCAACTCCTTTCGGAGCTATGCACAACGAAAGTAATGTTTCGTCTTAGATACACTTTGCACACTTTCGTTATAAAGACTTATCATTTGGTCAATATGATATGCAATGCACGAAAGTAATAAAGCAGTAAGTAAAGAGATATGGAGAGAGAGATTTTATAGTGGTTCAGCTGTTAACGAAGCCTACTCCACTTTTCTTTCACAACTCGTGAAAGGGTTTGCACTATCACTCCTAGTACAAACTACTTCAAGCTGGCTTCCTTGATCACTAGGCCGGACAACCACTTGATAGGTTTTTCAACTCTTCGAGTTTACTCCGCCTCTATCAACTTCTTTCTAAGTTGAGATGTTGGAAAGATAATCTGGTGTTTCTCCAACTGGTTGAAGCCTTGTCTTGATATCTGGATGAATCTTCACTTGAAAATATGCAAGACTTCTTAGATTGTGAAGTATGGAAATGGATGAGCCTTTTGAAAAAAAAAAACTTCACAAGATCACTGGTTATGAAAAGCTTTAAGAGATGGAACTGTTTGAAGAGCTTTTCTTTAGATAGCAAGAGTGAAATAACCAGCCCCTTCTTCAATGGTGAAGAGAGGTATTTATAGGTGGAAAAATCCATCCGTTGGAGGGAGATGAAGATTTCAAACCTAATAACCAGTGTGTATTAACCATTGGGCATCAAGCATTTAATGCACTTGTACTGTGTAGCGGTTGGAACCAAAAACATTATGACCTTTGTCCTTGTTCTCTGACAAGATGGTACAAGTCTTTTAAAGCTTCTTGTCTTTTGTGAAGATCATTCCTAGGACACTTTTTGTTCGAATGATTTGCCCATCTGAGTCATAGACAACATTCTCATTGCTTCACTTAAATGTAGGTTGTCTTTTACAAGTCTGTATTTGACTTGTTTACTCGGAGATGATGGTCGAAAGATTGACTTTATCTTTCATCCTTTCTCTTTGACGAGAGATCCTTTTTGTCAAAAGAGGTTTATCCGAGACTTGCTCAATCCATCTTTCGCCTGGAAGCATCTTTCGCCTGGAAGCATCTATCGATCATCTTGTCGTCTTCAAGACTTCATGTAGACCTATTATGCTAGTCTCGAGTAAGATTCGTACACCTCATGGTGTGAATCAAACGTTGAGTTACAATAACTTTCGTTTGTCACAAGAGATCTATCTACGAAAGAAAAAATAGGGATCTACAATCCTAGACAGTTTGATATCATCAAAATCTAATTACACTTGTTCCTAACAATATTTTCTTTATTAAATTCTTTTCACAAAGATCCAATTTATTAACATATAGGGATTCAAAATTTTTTATAATTTGAATTAAGAGTTTATTATGCAACAAATAAAAATCATGATTGGAGCTTAAAAAAGAGTTTATCATGCTAAGTACTATGTAATGTGATGACACCTCTATTACTATTCAAAATAGGTGATCACACGATCGAATCTCGATGGTCGAGAGAATGAATCGGGCTAAAAAAAATAATTGAGAAAATATAAAATAGATATTACTTTGTAAAGAATTGCGAGTATCGTATTTCAAAAAAAAAAATACAAAACAACTAAAATAATTTAAACCCCATAATTGATGGGTTAAAAACAAAATTTAACATAAAATATATGATGCATTAATGCTACTTCATTGAATCATTACAAGTCAAATCAAATAAAATGTCATTAATTTTATTTTTATTTTTTTATAATGTAACGTCATATTATATACGTCACTCTATCAATTGTTTAGATCTATTATCATATGATGATGTCATTACATCAATTTCATTAGGTTTGATAACCCCACTAAATATTTTTAATAGGGTACCATTATATTCTATGCAATCTAAGCAAAAATATTTGTTGCCACCTCATTATATATGTAAAAACAAGAATTTTATTAACTTTAATGTGGATTCTTTGTATAAAAGATTTTACATTGTCAAATAATCAATTATTACTTCTATTATTATAACTAGTATTTGTTATACGCGATGCACAAAAATAGGTGCCCAATATTAGTATTTTATATTAAAATTTTAAATTTATTTAGATTTGAGATATTTAAATTATTGTAAATAATAATAATAATAATAATAATAATAATAATAATAATAATAATAATAATAATAATAATGTAAAACATGATATTTATATTTTAGAAAATAAGTACTCCGTAACATATAACTCCAATATATAATGTGCATATATATTGTGCATACATATGGTGGATGCATGTGCATGGAATTGTGAAAAGATAACGAAAGTTATAATGGTAGGGGTATGTTTGTCCAAAATATTATAAACTACAACTTTTATAGCATAATGTATAAAAAAAAATTTAACAAAAAAAACAAACATAAATGAAGGGTATAACCTTCATTCACACTTATTCTGTTTCTAGACTGATTAAGGATATATAACCCTCTTATTTTAATTATAATAAACAATACAAACGAACTGCCTTCATTTACATGTGATACACGGTGTATTTAATTTAATAATGAAAGCCTGTATGACAATTCAGTTGGTCATAGGGGTGAAGTTTGAAAATAATGATCGAGGATCGAGTCTCATCAGCGATAATGTGGGATCAACCTCTCAAAGTAATGATGCTCCTTGTGCATGTGCAGTGAGCAAAGATTTACCTTTGTGTTCAACTGAATTACAATTATTTACATATTCTCAAATACTCCGTTGAGCTGGACGTGAGGGCCCTAGGGGTCTGAGATTCAAATATTTGGAGCAATAATGAAAAATAAGAGTAAAGTAATATAATTGTACTCGCAATGAATGGATGGGACCAACCATCAACTAAACCATTAAATATGTTCCTAGGAATCCTAGGATTATTTTAAGGGAAAGTTACAGTTTTCCCGTTAATTATATACAATTAATTAGCTAACTACCTTGTAATATAATGACATCTTGATTACCATTCTAATTGGATGATCATAGGTTCGAACCCTAGTGGTAAGGGCTTAGATTTTTTGGGTTGAAAATGTTTGAAAAAATATAGAACATATATTACCTTGTAAAGAATCATGAATATTTAAAAAAATATATACGAATAATTATTTTGATTTTTGATTATTTATTCTTATTAATGTAGTCTTCAATTATGTTATGATATATTGATATTTCATTTTTATTTCGGAATATAGCATATATTTTACTTTATTGCCCTAAAAAATTTTATTGCCGAATATTGAAGGTCAAAAAAGTTCATTTTCAACTTCATCCATAAACTTCCTAAGGCAAAGATTTATGGCCTTCTAGTTGATTATTCCACATTTTGATTGTAGATTTAGAAGAGCAAAAACCGAATTTGAAGAAATATGTCCGCAGACTTCTGAAAGGAATCACATATTGCTTTAAATTGGAGTGCAAACCTAAATTTCCAATTTTACCCTTCATTTTAACGCCAACTTAACCCCCAAAACTAACGGAGGGCCATTTTGGTTTAAAATTCAAAAGTCAAAGAACCATTTTGAAAAAATTAAAAATTAAGGGACCAATTTGAGAAAAGACCATAGTCGGAGGACCATTTTGAAAATTAACTCTTTTCATAAATATTACAAGTTTTGTTTATTTTCAACCGTTAAATCTATTATATCAATGGTTTGGATTTGTCCACATGATTTTACCAAGGCATGATTCTCACCTGGACCTATATATGTGCGCGCGCAACATTTTATTTTATTTTGTTTTTATAATTTGGCTACATATTTTCATGACAAATCGACTAGCAACTACACAAATGACTTTCTATTTGTGCTATGTAAGACCTCAACAATGAAAAATTTCATGGTTTGAAGAAAGCTGCATCTCAGGACTTGAACCTGAGACTTTGAGTGGAAAATGGTTGATTTTTTAAAATAAATTATAAAATATTATTTATTATTATATTGCAAGATCCAAAACGTACGTGATTCACGTGGGAATTGTCTTATTCTGGGTACTTCATGCATGTCATGTGAAAATGTCATACTCGAACGACAAGATTTGGACATTCTTCCGTGGGCTCCGTCCATATAGTTTCAACTTTTTTGTGCTATTACACCACAACCGCATGCATGATTTACCTAAAGAATTTTCAATTCCAAATCTTAATGATTATGTTTACATTATTGTTGAGTTTATATATATATATATATATATAATTCAGTTCCCGTGCAGTTGGGTGTGTCCCGTGCGGTTAAATATGAGTCATTGATCTTGTCTAAATCAACGTCTAGGATTAACAAAATTAAAAAAAAAAAAAAAAAAAAAAAAAAAAAAAAAAAAAAAAGTGATGGCAATTAGGTAATTTTTGCATCTAGGTCAAATTTAAGGTGCATAGT